TTTTTGTGAATCTATATTTCTGTGTCTGTTGCTTTAGATAATATTAATTTCTAAGAAAGAGATTTATTGGACATGTTCTCTGGTAAATCAGTCACCACATTTAGAAATATATCCAAATGAATTAATTGGACATAGTGAAATCTATGCACTTCCTGTTCATTAAAAATTATCAAGAATTTTTTAAAGATTTATTTATGCATACAAGAGCTGAAGGGTTGGCCAGAGGTACAGAGGATGAGAGGATTCACCAGAGACAGAATAGGGAACCAAACAGACACATTGACTGAAATACACTGCTGCGGGGAGCAGTGGGTGAGATAAAAGAGGTCTGCTGCTCAGGCGGGCTAGCTCCCTGGCCAGGGATCAAATTCGTGCTGCTGTGGTTGCCAATAGGTTGATGGTGCTGAGACTTAACCCCTTGTGACGCCAGGGAGGCCATGATCATGAATTTTTAATAGGAAACTATATTCAAATATATCATTTTCCTGAATCTTATTTATTTATTTATTGATTTGTTTTTGATGAAATTTATTTGTCTTTTTTTTTTTTTTTAAAGATTTATTTATTTATTTATACAAGCTCTGGGTACAGTCAGAAGCGCGGGGGGGCGAGAGAATTCACCAGTGTCAGAGCGGGGAGCAGAGCAGGCAGACTGACGAAGTACACTGCTTAGGGGACAGCAGGCGGCAGGAGAGGGCTGTATGCCATGTGGGACCCTTGCCGGGGATTGAACTGGTGCTGCAGAGGCTGCGGGCAGCTTCGCAACCCAGCACTCAACCGCTGCCCCATTTTCAGAATTTTAAATAGCAAATTTATATGAAATTTTCAAACTTGTCATAACATTCTGGGTGACAATCTTAAATTTCTTTGGCAAAAGAAATAATGATTCTTTAACCTTCATTGTATACACAGTGTATATTTACAAAATGTATATTTATCATTTTCCAAAAACTGAAAATTATGCAGTTCAAAGTATAAGGCTATGATACAATTTGACAAAGATTTAGACTCTAGATTAATCTCAGTTAAATGTAGGGTAAATTATTTAAACTGTGTGCTGTTGAGAGTATAATCATGTGCTATTACCGAGTATGAGAAGACAACAAACTTAACATTCAGGCTTTCTGAACAAAGCAGCATATACAGTCATCATACTTAAATATGTTTGTAATTATTTAATTAAATGGATTAATTTAGTGGATAAATTCACCACTTCCAAGCAAGGACCTGGTTGTCCAGAACTTTAACACTCAGAGACACAGAGGAAGCATTGTTGCTCCCCTGCCCCTCAACGTGAATGCCTCCAGGATTTAATATTTAACTCTGTGTTGGTTCTTGCTTCAACATATATGGTCTTTATAATATTCTGGAAGCATTCACCTAATCTTGCTTTGCTAAAACTTTGGATCATAGAGAGCTTAAAAATCTTATTAGAAAAAATTTATGTATTTGTGGCGAGGAAATGTTTTCTAATAGAGCTAGTGCCATTTTTTAATCAGTGGATTTCTTAATAGTATTTATTTTTCTGGAATCAACTATTCTGTTCTGAAGACTCAGACTTGATGCACCAACACACACAATTTGTGAACATTTTATTTGAATTTTTACAACTTATAAAGGGGACTAGTAAAACATCAATTTTTAAGTTATTGCTTTAGATTTTGGGAGCAGTTTATGATAATTTCATAAAATCAACAAAGTAATTTTGGGTAATTTTCAAATGTTTGGAGCTATTGATATGGTGCCTTTTCCTTTAAAAATTCACATTGAGCTGACTAATCCTACTTGGGGTTAGTGTAGGAGGAAGCTAGGAAATGGCATAGGCAGTCAGTTAGGAACAGGGTACCCCAGCCCTAAGTCATCCTATCAGCCTGATTGAGATACTGGGTTGTAACCAGGAGGATGCCTTTTCCCTCCTCCCTCCCCTCAAGCCCTCGGTCATTTAATAGTCTGATTGGAGAGTTCAGACACCAACACAATAACACAATGCTAAAGAAAATGAAAGGTTACTTTCAGGAAGGTAGGCCAGGTAATGTAAGCACACCCAGTGGGTCTGGGTATACTAGGAGAACCCCCAAAACTCAGTGGACCTACGTAGCCCAGTAAAACCACAAACTCAGAAGCCTAGGAGACCCCCAAGAACTCAGTCAACCAGCAAGAGACAACCCAGAGAACCCAAGAACCAAACTCCCACCCTTTGCTCACTATACTCATAAAAGCACCCTCTTCTCCCTCCCTGCCTACCGATAAATGCCTTGCTTTTATTTGTTCTCGAAGTTGAATCCTGCTATTGCCCAAGACAAGACCAAGAAGGAGCCTACCTGGGTCCTCAGACCCAAGGGCTGCTTCCCAAACCCCAGTTCTTCAGTAGTAATTGTGTGTCTTTACGAGTTTATATTCATTTTCTTCATCTGGCACTGCAATCTTGATAAAATTGATAGTTTTCCCAGAAAAATCAACTCATTGAGTTGATGAGTTGGTTATGATAATGATGTGATGAGGATGATGATGACAAAAGTTGTGGCCATTATTGCTGACACCTCTAAGGAGTATTTCAATTGCTTGGGACTGTTCTTACTATTTCATATACATGAACTCCACACCATATTCCTATTTCACATTAGGGTTAGAAGTATTCTTAAGAAAACATATACCTAAAGAAACATTTTATTATGATTCTGATGTTTTGGTTTAAACCTCCTGGAGTACATTTATGTTTATATCTATGTTAAATTTCTTGTGCTAAGTGCATATAGAGGTTAGTACACAGATGTGTATTTGCTCATTTTTAAAAAGGGAAGTGAAAATGCAGATGGGAATAAAATACAACATGTGAAATTGTTAATTTTACATGGGAAGATACTAATACTGTTCATTCATAGAGTACTTGAATGAAAAGACAGGCAAGCTACTACAAGACACCCACTGCTGATGCAGTGACAGGCCTCTCTGGTTGCCCCTTTAGTATCCCTATGTCTTGCATTTGACAAATTTGTCTCCTGTATTCTAAGGAAAAGAAAGAACATTCCTAAGAAGATAAGGCAATTAAACACCAGGAGTTAAGCAGAGCTGGTGCCCACTCTTGCAAATCTCCCAAATATGATACTGTAATTTCAGGTTTTCAGGCCTCCTCTCCCAGCCCAGAACAGATCCCAGGCTGCAACGGCAGAGCTGAGTCCCAGCCACCAGACGACCATGGATTGGTGTCTCATGAAGCCGCAGCGGGAACTTCACTGATGCTGACGCAAGCAAGAGGAGGCAAATTTGTTCAGAGAAAGAAAAAGTATATTGAAGAAAAAAGGTACAGAAATAAAGTGGGGCTCCTAGGTGGGTGGAACCAGGCCACAGAGGGGCAAGGAAGCCAAGTGGAGTTGTGCCTCAGGGAATATGTATCTTCTTTCCCTGATTATTCTAATACTCCACCAGTCTCTTTGTGATTGGTTAGTTCTCGGTGGTCTCTCTCACTGCCCTAATGCCTCTGTGCCCAGAACAAAGCGTCTGTGTCCCAGCCCTTACCTAAGCATAGTTTTCTTCATCATGCTTATTCCAGAATGTCCTGCTGCCCCTAGTCCTGGGGGTGTTTGATTAGTCCCCTTTAGAATTTGTTGCCCTTATTTCTGGAGCCTTCCTTAACTCTCCTGAAGTCCCTGTCTGCACTGCACCTGAAGCTGCCTAATTATCCCTAACTTGCCCTAGGACTCATCCCTCCCTCTACAGATGGAGCCCCTAACTGCTGTTGGGACAAAGAACTTTGATTCCATCAATGACTGATTCCAGCTGAAAGTGGGTGGAGCAGGGAGGCAGTCAGATCTCCATGACAATCTAAGGGTCCTCAGAAGGACTATGGAGGCTTTTTAGTGGGTTTCATTTGAAGAAGCTTTGGAAGTTTGATGGCCTCCAGGTAAGAGATGATTCCAATTAGGGCATTGAGGATACAGGGCCCAAGCAAGAGAAAAATGAAAAACAAACAAAAAAAAAAGTTTTAGTAAGGAAATGAAAAAGGGGTGCAGCAAGGGCAGGAGTTGTGTTTTTTTTTTGTTTTTTTTTTTTAAGGATTTAAGAGGAGCTAAGCCCTTGTCTGGCTTGGCTTTTAAGATTTACTGCCTTCAAACTGTTAATCCAAAACAAGTAAGTTTTATTAAGGAGGGCACACTCTCATGAGCAAGTCCTGGACTCTACGGTGCTACAGAACCACTGAGACTAGAGAATTTAAGGAGCATTGTTGGGCTTTGGCTTGTGGGATATTATAGTTCCATAAGGAAGATATGAGGTTCTTTAATTGCACTCTAACAGGTGGCAAAGATACCTCAGCCTGGAACTGTAGGTGCTGACTGAAGGTGCTGTAGCCAAAATGACAGAATCAGTAAGACTAGGGAATCCATTGTATTCCTATCTTTTGTAGCAGCCACTAGTAGAGCCAATAGTGGCTGATGAGATGGCTAGTTTGGAATTTCATGTCCCGTCCTAATAGAGGAAGTTAGGAAAGCAAGTCCTGGCTTAGGCTCGCCATCTGACTAGTGAGGGAGACAATCGACCAGTAGGTCAATCCAAAGAATTGGAGCAAGGCAGAGTAAGTGGCCCCTTATTCACCAAGAAGGTGGTCTTTTTTCTGCCACTTCTAGGGTCGAAGTGAAAATATATTATTGAGCAAATGAATATAATAAAGATTCCAGCAGAACTTCCAGCCCAGGAACAATGAACACTCCAACGTAGGCATAATCAACAAGTTTGCTTACTTATAACTCCTTCCCTTTCAAGATTTATGGCCAGAGCCTCAGCACTTTTATCTACAAGGTCAGGCAGCCGGCCAAGCTGGTCTCTCTCTCTCCAAGGCCATCCCCAAATGCCTGCATCTTCCCCCCTTGCCTTACCCTCCTTGTCTGGGGACTTTGCCACAAATGGTTGTGTCTGTTGAAAAATGATGTTATCAATGTAACAGATATGGACACAGTTGTGTATAAAAGGAACCCTTGGTCTTTACACAGGTGCTCAGACCTTATGGGGTTACCCAGGTCTGGGACCCCATGCATGAGTAATAAAGCTGCTCCTGACCTCACCATTCCTGAAGTACCACTTGTTCTTCCTCTGCCTGGGTAAAAAGTAGAATTTATTTCTACAACATTTTGGTGTGTTGGCTGGGAACAACAAGCACGTTGGGCCTTTGAGCCATGGGCTTAGGAGGATGCATGGTGGGGGATAGGAAGGAGAGCCAAGGAAGGGGGAGAGCTTGCTGCTGAGGACTTTCTGCCGTCTCTTGCTTGGTTACTCCTGCGCAGCCCCCACGATACCTTCCAGGCCTGACTTCCAAAGGGCTGAGTGAGGCCAGGACCTGGTGCCTAAGTCAGACCAGGTAAGGTCCCGGGACCCTGGTTCCCATGTGGCCTAGCCAGAGTGGTAGAAGGAGAGGCTGATCACCTCTCAGGGAGACCTCAGAGGGTCTCATTTGGTTTTGGTAAGGAACATTGGTACTCCCAGAAAGGGAGGGATGGTATGGTTATAACCTTCTGGGTATGTGTGAAATCTCTACAAATGCAGCTGCGGAGATAGATTGGGCTTTATCTGTGGTTTTATCGACAAGTCGTATGGCTGAAAGATGACTGGACTTGTCAAAATCTCTGAGGGGGGTCAGCCTGGAAAGCATCTGTGTGCTCCCCCTTCCCTTGCTGCAACATCGAATACAATGGAAGGGAATTGGAGCAGACAGACGGTCCTCTTAATGAAACTGATAGGGAATTTTCTGCCCTACTTTCTTTAGAAACTAAGGGTCATTCTTACAAATACAACTTGAGAAATGTTTTCTTATCTGAAGGAGCTCATTAAAAAGAAATATTTAAAAGTAAATTAATAATTGTCAGTGTTGTCAGAAATATTGGTAAAATAACGATCTCTAAAAATTAGTGCAAATGGCCAAAATTTTAAATGGAAGAGATCTCTGTGTCTGTGTCTTTGCCTTTGTGTTTCTTGTCTCTGGAGTGTTGCTGTGTTAAAATTATAAATGGTGCCTATATAAATTCTAATAGAAAAGAACCCAAATTTTGAGATCACGATCTAAAATTTTTGTTAAACATAAATTAGTTCAAACTGTAATGGTTTAATTAAAGCATGTGTGTCAAATTGATAATATTGGGAGTTAATAGTTCTATTGTATGTTTAAATGTGTTTATTTGGGAAAAACAAAAAACTTGGAGCAGTCAATAAGAGTTACTGACCTAGTTTATGTTAACAGAGATAAATGTGGATAAATGTGGTTTTGTTTATACCAGTACTTCTTTTGATAAAATTGTTTTCTAAAAAGACTAACCCACTACTTCTTCCCTTAAAAGAAGTACCTTTGTTCCCCAGGTAAGCACCTTAATTGATTTTTCCTTCCCTTGTCCTAGCCAAACAGAAAACAAAAAACCTCTGGTATATGAAATTGCTTCATTTGTAACTCTGATCTTCCTATCCTAAGAAAAACTACAGCTACCATTGATATCTATATCTTAAATGTGTTCTTTTGATCATTATTTAAATGGTAGTATTTTTCTCCTATAAAGCATGTGTTTATGAGTTATCCAGTAAAAAGGAATAATAGCATAACTGCTCTTACAATGTCTTGAAGTGAAAAATGTGAGGCTGACCTATTCATTAGCAGGAGTTATTTTGGGACAAGGCCTAGGTGTTGACTAAAAGTTTCAGGGAGTGACTGATGGACTTTCTTTGGCCAGGCACCTGACTTGTGTGCCCCGGATGACCAAATGACCTCATGGAAGTCCCCTGCTTCTATACTTCCTGCTTGCTTTACAGTGCTTATATGCCCCTGCTGGGGCAATGGATGCTGTGTTGCCTAATTGCTTGGGGGGCTCAGACTTTGGAAAAAATTCTCCTCTGGGCCTGCGGGCATAAATAAAGATGAAACTCTGTCATAACAGTCTTACAATCTAAAAATTAAAAACTAGAATGTTGTAACTCTAAATGCAAATAAAGTGAGGTGTGTTAAGAAATGTATTTAAAATAGATATGTTAAAGGTCTTAGAAAATTTAGTGTCAAAACAAAATGGCTATCTTTGAAAAAATAGTGCAAAATAGGAAGGAAAAAGTGTTGAAGTTCTGAGAGAGGTATCTTAAGAAAATGCTATGTGCTAGAATGATTTGTTTTAAAAATATTTAAGTTTATTATCAGTGGTGTACTTATGAAAAACCAGACTTTAATTTCTTTTCCACGTACTGGTTCTTGATGACAAATTAAAAACTGTTTAGGCTATCTACAATCTTGATTCTCTTTTACCCTCAGACTTGGCTAACTAAAAAATAGAGTCCTGTCAGCATTGTTGAGCACTGTAAAATATATACCTACTTTTAAAAAAAACTCTAGTTATCACTCTGGGTAATTTAGTGTTGTTTTATAAAATTCTGCATATCTTTATTAAGCCTGTGACAAACTTTTCTTGAAGTCCAATTTCAAAAATTGTAAAGTTTTTGATCAGTAAAATGATTTGATGTGTCTTAGGACTCTTATTTTTCCTTGTAGGAAAATGCTAAAACACATTGGACCAATCGAGAAAAGTTAAACTTCATAGAAAAAACATTGTAATTGAGGGGACGAGTTATACCTTTTCAGCATATATAAAAATTGGTTAAAGTGTTTTTTTTTTTTAACTTTTTTTTTTTTTTAATAGAGGCATGTTTTATTTATTTATTTGTTTGTTTGTTTGTTTGTTTGTTTGTTTATACATGCACTGGGTACAGTCAGAAGCGCGGGAGGGTGAGAGAATTCACCAGAACCAGAGCGGGGAGCAGAGCAGGCAGAAGGACCGAAGTACACTGCTGAGGGGAGCAGCGGGCGGCAGGAGAGGTCTGCGCGCCATGTGGGACCCTCCTCTGGTGGCCGGGGAGCAGCCGGGGATCGAACCGGCCCAGCAGATGTTGCGGGCAGCTTCGCAACCCAGCGCTCAACCGCTGCGCCACCGGGGAGGCCCTAAAGTGTTTTAAAATATATGAGATTTTTAAAACCTAGTATTTTCCAGTATAATATTTTTGGTCGATTCTGATTATTCTGAAATATGTGTGTGTGCATGTCACAAAATTGAGCAAACATCCTTGTCTTTTGCCTTAAACCATAATTTTAGGTATGGTCATTTTCAAGTTTTTGTTATTTCTAAAGGTCACTTGCTGAGCTTTGTCTTCAGAAAACTCACAAAAAGAGTGACAATATAGATTTGTTTTAGAACTGAGAAAACCTACTAAACTTAAACTGGATTTATAAAAATTACCAACAGAAGATCGAGACTTAATACACAGGAAAAGTACACTGAGGGGGATTTGTATAATATTAATGACTTTTAAAAAATATTGGTCTTTAATGTTTTGTTTTGCTTTGTTTATCTTTAGAAAACTTGTCTTTAAACTGGACTATAATCTTAGGAGTGGCAATTTGCATCTTTTTATGAGCAAACTGGAACATTTGCTTTTCTCTTTTCAATCAAAACCTTTTAACAAAACATGTTTAATTTTCTAGTTTAAGGAGAAATAAATAAAATTCCCCATTGAGATTATACAAAGACAGACATTGTCCTGAGAAGTACAAATATCGCCTACACATTATCTGGGATGAGAAAAGCAAATGTTCTAGTTTGCTCATAAAAAGATGCAAATTGCCACTCCAAATAATTTTTCTCTACCCTCATCCCAATTCTGTAAAATAGTAAACCAAATCTAATTTTAAATAATTTCACCTATATTTGCATAAACTCACAGGGCAGAATAACCAAGCAGAATGGTGTTGGCTTTGTTGAAAACTCCACAGTCTGGAATGAGCTTTTACTATCTAGTCCATGCAGGCTTCATCAAAGTCACAGTCTTACCAGACTTCACCTGAGATTTCCTCTTCTCCAGGTTCTCTGGGCTATCTCCAGGGTTTTTCCAGTCCTGCCAATGGAAGCACACTTCCTTACCTTTCATGGAGGTCTTTGGAACCCGGTAAGTAATGTGACAGGCTCTTCTTGGCTCACACTTCTCAGCTCAGCTCAAATTTTACTCCCAGAAGAATTTCAATCAAACCCTTTTAACAAAACATGTTTAATTTTCTAATTTAAGGAGAAATAAATAAAATTCCCTATTGAGATTATGCAAAAACAGACATTGTCCTGAGAAGTACAAATATTGTCTACACATGTTTTGTTAAAAGTCCAAAGATGTGACGCCCCTTTCTCCCATAGAAATGGAAGGTCATAACAGAGAGTGGGGATTATGACGCAGTTAACAAGTTTGTCTTTTCCATATTTCTTTTTTTTTTTTAATTTATTTATTTATTTACTTATTTATACATGCATACATACATACATACAAACAAATACTGGGTACAGTCAGAAGCGCGGGAGGGTGAGAGAATTCACCAGAGCGGGGAGCAGAGCAGGCAGAAAGACTGAAGTACACTGCTGAGGGGAGCAGCGGGCGGCAGGAGAGGTCTGCGCGCCATGCGGGACCCTCCTCTCGTGGCCGGGGAACAGCCGGGATCGAACCAGTGCCGCAGAGGCTGCGGGCAGCTTTGCAACCCAGCGCTCAACCGCTGTGCCACCAGGGAGGCCCCTTTTCCGTATTTGTTGGAATTCCCCCCATGTTTGATATAGGGGCTGCCCTGTGAGAAACTCACAAGGGCATCAAAGAGGGAATGATGTCCAAGGAGAAGGGAGTTAAACAGCAGAGCCAGCTGGTGCCCACCTGTCTCTGTGCCGACTCCCCCCTCCCCTTTGCAGACCCTTGCCTATCTCCCCTGTTTTTTTCCTTTGTAAAGTCTCAGGTTCCACCCCCGTGGATGCATCACTCCGAAGTGAAACTGGCCTACAAACCAGAAAAAGGACACTTCAGCCAGCGGATGGACAGCAGCCCCTGATCTGGAGAATCCCCTTCGCTTGAGGCTACAGATGGATCCACCCACCAAGGCGGCCTTAGACATCAAGCCCTGCTCCGGCCACACTCGGGAAGCTGGTTGGACCATGCATGGCAGAAACTTGAGGACCTTTTACATGTATGTTTTGTTATTTTTACCGTTCCTGTAGTGACTGTCTTTGCAGTCAGCCTCGCCACAGTGGCCCCTGACCGTTTGGATTGGGAGGCCTACTTGCCTCTGGTTACCTGATTCTGTGTGTGGACATAATTGTTTTCAAATGTTTGCTAAAATGGGCCTGCTTGCCAGTGTCCTCCTACACCTGCCCCTCACTCTCCCTTCTGTTTGTGAGGACTTATCTCCCAAACCCCTAGTAACTGCAGTGAAGCCAGGGTGTGTACCCAGCCTGACAGAAGGGCCACAAAGAACAAGGGAGCTCTCTGGTCTCCCACACCCTGGGCTTCTTCTAGTTGCTCCCACAGACGCCTGTGTCCCAGCTAATTGGTGCTGCACACATGGCTCTCAGCCGCTCTAACGTGGCTCTTGCTTCAGATTGAGGGATTTGCTTAGGGCCAGGTCCTGCCAGTTTGAGGGAGTCATACTTGACCCAGGTTTGATCCCTCCAAAGGTATCACCTAATTGCTCCTTGGATCTCATCCTAGGTCCTGTGTCTCCGTGGGAAATGCTACAAATCCCTTGACTCACACTTCTAAGATCTGCGCCACACAGATGGCACTTACCTGGCCTGTGCTCAGGGACTGTATCAGTGAATTGTTCCACACAACCAGTCATGCTTCATTGTCAAACTAGTGCCTAACTTGTCTGTTTTAACTGGAAGGGATGCACTTTCAGTCTGGAAGCCCCCTCATCGTGAAAAGAGGGTTCTTGTGGCCATCCCACTTTTAGTGGGTCTGCTGGCTGCTATGGGTACGGCTGGGATAGGAGTGTCTCAGGTTCGTTATAATGAACCAGCTCAAGTCAGATTTTGATGCTTTTACGAAGTCAGCCCTAGCCCTCTAACACAACTTGACTCCTTGGCAGCTGTAGTGCTCCAGGACTGGCAAAGACTAGTGGGCCTGCTCACCACTGCCCAAGGAGGTATCTGTGTGGTAGGGAAGAGGCCCTGCAGCAGCCAACCAACCAAGATTGCTCCTCCCTGGGGTTCCGGTGACTATCACCTCACAATGGCTGCTGGGTAATAATCAGGGTTCCCTTTAGAAAAAGGTATAGAGGTGATGCCCTGTAAGAAAAATAACTCACAAGGGCATCAAAGAGGGGAATGAAGTGAAAATATATTATTGAGCAAATGAATATAATAAAGATTCCAGCAGAACTTCCGGCCCAGGTGCAATGAACACAGGCATAATCAAAAGTTTACTTACTTACATCTCCTTCCCTTTCAAGATTTACCATCCTCAGCACTCTTGTCTACAAGGTCAGGCAGCCGGCCAAGCTGGTCTGTCTTTCCAAGGCCATCCCCGAATGCCTGCATCTTTCCCACCTTGTCTGGGGACTTTGCCTCAAATGGTTGTGCCTGCTGAAAAACGATGTTATCAGTGTAACAGATATGGACACAGTTGTGTATAAAAAGAACTCTTGGTCTTTAAACAGGTGCTCAGACCTTATGGGGCTACCCAGGTCTGGGACCCCATACATGAGTAATAAAGCTGCTCCTGAACTCACCATTCCTGAAGTACTGCTTGTTCTTCCTCTGCCTGGGTAAAAAGTAGAATTTATTTCTACAACAGGGTCACCAAGGCTTGTTGTAGAGTAGCAAACAGGGGAGCCTGTCTCAAAGGGACATGCTGACCCTTCCTATCACCCCTTTGCAGACCCTCACCCGACTCATTTTTTTTTACTACTGTGTATACATATTCCTGGCCTTTGCCAAAGAGCATGACTGGGCATTCTCAGTCACCAGGCCGCGGCCCTCCTCAACTACTTTCCTTCTAAAATGGTTTGTTTTTATCGGCTGAAGGAGACTGAGCACTGCATTCAGTATCACCACAAAGGTATATCTGGGAACATAAACACTGCCCCACAGTAAAAGAAACAAACAAACAAAAAAACAAAAAACAAAAAAAAAAAAAAAAAAACGAGGTAAGATTAACAGAAACTAATAAACTTTTGTACCTCCAAAGAAAACATCACAAAACAAAAGGGAACCAACAGAATTGAAAAACTATTTGAATGCTACCATCTGAATAGGGGGTTCATCTCCAAAATTTACCCCACACTTACACAAACCAAAGCAAAGAAACAAATGACCCTCACAAACAATGAGCTAGGGTCCCAATACTCACTTCTCACAGAAGACAAGCCCATGACCTACAGTCATATGCAAAGACCCTGACATCACTTATTCTAAGCAAGATGCAAAACAAACAAACAAACAAAAAAATCACATTCAGTTACCAGCTCAACTACTATAAATCATCAAGGAACAAACTTTCCTGAGTCAACAAAAGCAAGCAACAAGAGGGACCTAATGAAAAACAGCTGAGATGCTACCAGGTGGGGCCAATTATCCATCCCCAGTGGGAAATCCCACAGAGTGAAGACATGGCTAGAAAAGAGTAACTGGGCATCCCATCTCCCTTCTGGGGCTTCCCTTCTCCCTTCTATCTGCTGCTGTCCACTGCATGGTCTCCACTCTTCAGTTTTGTGTGTTTTGTCCTTTTTCCTCAGCGTCCTTGCTTTCAGTGCACTTTTAAGCACCCCCATCCATACTCCATGTGCCCACCGCCAGGGCATGTTTACCGAAAACCCACACTCATTATTAACCACAGATCAAGGTGAAAAGCCTTGATCAATCTTCCTTTACTCTACAATCCACCGCCTTATGTTTGTCACAAATCTATAGCAAGTTTCCATTGCCCACATTAACACGGTGCCATCACCCACAAAAGTGAACAGAAATCAACTGAATCCAACAATACAACAAAATGCAAGAGAATACAACTTTCCCACACAGGCACCTGCCTAGGTGTCAGTGAAAGAGTATTAGCACCAGCTGATGATCACTCAAGTCTGCTCCCCACAGGTAAGGCTCATCTGAGGGGGTAACCCTATCCATTCACTCAAAGTTCTGTGGTCACACACCTGGAACTCTGCCTTCCTGGCCTTTTCAGGCTGTCATCTCATTCACAAGTCACACACCTCATCCACCCCCCGGATGCACTCACTCTGACTGTGGTGACACGCTCTACTTTTTGGGGGATAATTGCCATCCCCAGGGGTACTCAATGCTGTCACTCCAACTCCTGGCTTTCATAGCCACCAGTGTGACAAGCAGAACCCTGTAGTAAGGCCAACCTTTTGCTCATGACCATGGTTCGAGGCCTGGGAATAGAAAGCTCCAATTGTGGCCTCATTGGTCCCCTCTGGCCCTGTGGTCTCTACAAGCCATGTTCCCCACCACCTCACCCGTACTCTAAATTGATCTTGGCCTCACCCACAGATCTTTAGTAGGCTCACTTGCCTTCTTTAGCATCCTCAGCTTCTTAATAACCACTCAGGACTTCCCAATCTTGGCGCCAGTGTTTTTCCTTAACTAAATTGGTTTTGAGACCTTTCCTGCCTGGCTGCAGAGAGCCTCACACAAAGCTGGTTTAGGCCACCGAGGCCCAGTGGACAACCCCTGGTTTTCACGCTCTGGGTTGTACATATGATCGCATCCATCCCCTGGGTACTATGGGCATAAATAACATCAACCTGCCAAAGTCTCCAGCCTCCTGGCTGGATTGTTAATCCAAGTCCAGAGTTTTTCCTTCGTATCAGCACTCTGGGAGCTCCAAATGGTGAATCATGGTCCTCTTTCTTACCCCACAAGTCTGCTGCCTCAGCGGTCCTCACGGGCCATCTCCTCCTCCACATGAGGTCTTGTCCTGCAGCTCCGGGACCTTGTCAGCCTCCAACGCTGCCCAGGTGCCTCCAACCTTGTCCTGGAATCCCTGGGTAGAGCTGCGAGGGACACTCACCCCCAGCCCTGCCTCTGAGCAGCCACCAACCTCCCCATTGTGTGCAGAGTCCTCTCCCCCGCAATGGGGACTCAGGTGGTGCCTGCAGAGAGGAGGCCGGCACCCCTCAGTCCCTCCCAAGGTCTTCGGAGGGCTCCATACCCGTCTGCGCTGGATTCTGCCGACTAATGCAGATTGTAGGGGCAACTGGCACTGGGAAGGCTCTCGATGGCTCCAGGCAGATGGGTAAAGGAGTCCTGGAGCCCTCAGAGGCTTTTTCAGGCTTTTAATGTTCTTTCCATCCCACTTGTAGTGAGGTGACCAGGTGCAGGGCAGGCAGGACAGCAAGGGGGCCTGGAGACCTCCCAGGCCCCAGAAAATCTTTACTCTCTCTGGTCCCTCCATGCTGGCAGGCAGGGGTGCTGGGGAGCCAGGGGCTGAGGAACCCCTGGGATCCGGGTGCTGAAGGGCTGGCAGGCCTCCCAGCCTCTGGGGTGTCCGCTCCTGGTCTCTTCCTCTCCCGGCTGTTGCATGTCCTCTCTTGTAGCCATCCTCCAACGCCCTCTGACGCGCCCAGTCCTCTGAGACTCAGTCCTTCTATGCTCAGCCTCCAGGCTCAGCAGTGCCCACTCACGCTCACCCACATCACACTCCAGGTGTCCACCATTGGGCATGCGCACTCCGAGCCCACGCCTGAAGCGCCTTCTGCATTCAAGGCCACACGTGATGGCCACAGAGGCCAATGGCCCAAAAAGCCGGAGCAATATCCCTTTACCCTACAGACGCCTACAAAGATACTTGTCTTCACAACATCGGATGCACTGGATCTGGTCAGGGCTTGTGCTCCATAGAGAATCTCAGTGTCTTGTCTGTTTTTCTGGAGAGACATTGAAAAAATAATTTACAGTTACTTCAAATGCACAGGAAACTTTGAGAGCAGTACAAAAACTCTTTATCTTAAACTCAACTTCCTCCTTTACCATATATTTAACTTAACATGAAATATTCCATGTGCTTTCATCACAATATTCCATTTTGTATTTAACCAAAATATTCCAGGGATCCACCACATTGCCCCAAGAGTGAATCATGTTGCTTCCCATCTTATAATCCAATGGCCCATTTCAACTATCAACATCTGCTCCAACTGTGTGAAATCATCTTATTCCATTCAGATTGACTTTCCTTGTTTGAAACTGTTCCTGAGACTGTTCCTCATTTCCACAAGCTTGATCGGTTTAGTGAGTGCACATGCCTACAATGGGGGTGATCTTTTCTGTTTGACTTGTAAGGTAAGGTAAAAAGTATCAGGCTTTTCTGCCCTTCCTCCATTAGGATTAATGATGGATCCTTGCGGTCCTTAATGCATGCCTGATGGCGGGCACCTGGAGTAGGATGTGGGCATGTGTAAGTGGGTACACCTGGGCTGAGAGACTAGCTTATAAGAAGGGCAGTGTCACGGGGATGCCAGCAGAACGAATGGAGGAAGCAGAACCATAAAAGAGAGCAGAGAAGGAGAGAGAACATGAGAGAAGGCAGTAGAGCCCAGCAAGAGCAAAGACTTGCTGGGGGCTGGGAGACCTGCCAGCCTCCCAGACCCCTGGCACTCCTGCCTGCTGTGTACCTGATAAATCCCAATAATAGCCTGAAAAGCCACTGAAGGCTCCAGGACTCCTCCTTTATACCTTCTGCTCGAATCATAGAGATCCTGTTCCGTGTCCTCCTGCTATTACAGACTCTTTTTATGTATGTATGTATTTATTGCCACCTCCATTGCCCATTGTCCTGCATGGTTGTTGAACAGTTTGTTTCCTCAGACTTAGAGTTGACTTCTTAGGTTGGTTAAACCAAGGAAAAAATGAAATTATCATTTTTATGGGGGATTAACCCATAACCCTACATATAAGTAAGCTTAATCTAGTGTAAACAAATTATTACAAACTGTGATGTTGCTGAGAGTATGATCATGTGTTGCTACTGATTATGAGAAGACAACAGACGTAACACTCAGGATTTCTGAAGAAAGCAGTGCATATGGTAATCATACTTGCATATGTTTGTCATTATTTAATTAAATGGATTAATTAAATGGATAAATTCACCACTTTCAAACAAGGAATGTAAGAATGATTTTATAGCACTTTCCTTAATTCAGCTAAACCACTGTGAGATACAAGATTGATTTACTTACTGAAAGGTCAGGCAGGAACCAGGGCGAGAATGAGGAAGCCCAGTTAGGGGCGAGAATGAGGACCTGCTGATACCATCAGAAAACAACTGTTCCTCAGTACTGCGGTTTCCCTCTTCCCATCCTATAAAAACCTGCCTTCCCCTGACAATAGGTGTGTCTTCACGGACCCCGGGGAACACAATAAAGCCCCTGTAGGGCAAGGAAAAATGTCAGGCTTTTCTGCCCTCCCGCCATCAGGATAGATGATGGATCCTTGCGGTCCTGAATGCATGCCTGATGGCGGGCACCTGGAATAGGGTGTGGGCATAGGTAGATGGGATTCACCTGGGCTGAGACTGTGCTTTTTAAGGGCGGTGTCATGGGGACACCAGCAGAAGCCGAAAGAGAAGCTGAAAACGAACAGAAACCGAGAGAGAAGCAGAGAACACCAGAGAGCCCAGAGAGAGTGAAGACTTGCTGGGGAGCTGGGAGGCCTGCCAGCCTCCCAGCCCCCCAGCCAGCACCCCTGCCTGCCATATGCCTGGTGAACCCCAATAAAAGACCTGCAAAAACCCACTGAGGACTCTGACTCCTCCTTTACCTGGTGTGCTGGATCAGAAAACCTGCACTGTGGTTCATTCCTGCCCCTACAGCCCCCTTTTAAACTTATTCTGTCATCCTCGTCTTCCCCTCCTCATCTTCCCTGCAGAACCTTTCACTTGTATCGTTGGTTGTGACAGAAGAAGAAAATAAAGTATTGTAGGGTAAGGTAAAAAGTATCAGGCTTTTCTGCCCTCCCACCATTAGCATTGATGATGGATCCCTGCGGTCCCGAATGCATGCCTGATGGCGGGCACCTGGAGTAGCGTGTGGGCATATGTAGGTGGGTACACCTGAGCTGAGACTGGGTTTATAAGGGCAGCGTTACGGGGACGCCAGGAGAACAGAGCAAGAGGAACAGCAGAGAGTGGAAGAGCAGAGGCTACGAGAGAATGTCAGTGAGCCCAGAAAGAGTGAAGGCTTTCTGGGGGCTGGGAGGCTGGCTGGCCTCCCAGGCCCCCAGCGCCCTTGCCTGCTATGTACCGGTAAATCCCAATAAAAGCCTGTAAAAGCCACTGAGGGCTCCAGGACTCTTTTACCCCATCTGTTCGAATCACAGAGATCCTGCATGTACCCGTCCTGCCACTACAAGTGTCCTACTAAAATCCATGTTCATTACAAAGTACATCCTAATAGTTAAACAAAAAATGCTAAAAATTCACTTTACTATATTGGAATCAAGGAAATAATGGATCATGAATGTATCATAACACACCATGTTAACATATAATCTAAGACTATGAATTTGTAATAAATTTTGAAAAAGACGTTTAAAAAACTGACTTTGGTAGAAGGAAACAACAAATTGAAAACAAATGCTACTTCATTGAATATATAGCTATGTCAAATAATCATCACGCTTTGAATTTGGTATTTAATAATGTAGCACTAAAAGTACAGTAAGAAGCATCTTTTATAATATTTCTCATTTTTGTAGAAATATTGAGTGCAGTATCTATTTTTAAAAAAGTGATGAACTTTCAAAAACAATTGGAAAATGGTAGTCAAGGGTTTAATATTAAAATGTGAGATTTTATTTGGCTTGTTTATTTTATTTGTTTATTTTTATTACATTGAGAACAAACCAGCAACAATATTGCTGGCATTTGAACAGCAACGTTGTAGGGTAAATGGTTTGGTAAATGGTTTTCAGGCTTTTCTGCCCTCCACCATTAGGATTGCCCTCCCTGATGGGGTACCTGCATTTATTACATCGTTGCAAACTGTCTTATCTTCTGTGGGCCATGGGAGGGGTATTGAGATAGTCACCAAGAGAAGCAGAGGCAGGAGAGAGAAGGGGGAAAAGAAAGCCAAAAGAGAGAGAGAGAGAGAGGCCCAGAGTGAAGACTTCCCTGGGGCTTAGAGGCTTGCGGCCTCCTGGCCCCCTGGCACCTCTGCCTCCATGTACCTGGTTGCTGCAATGCATATAAAGCTCAATACAAGCCTGAGAAACCCACCCAGGGCTCCTGGACTCCACCTTACCCTGGTCTGCTTGAATCTTAGAAAATCTGCTCTGTCTTCCCCTATCCTGCTGTCACAAACATAATTGAATACAAAGAAACGACCAAGAGGTAAGATCATGCTGCTGGTGAAAATAATGTTTACTAAAGAAATACATTTTAATAACATCTATTTGAAAACTTGCCTAATTACCAGTTTTCTGAATAACTTTTTTTAAATAACCTCATCTGATGTGTAGAAACTAGCAAAAATATACATTTGAAAATATCAGAAATATTGACACCACTGTAATACTGGTTGGACTTTAACAATTGTAGATTTTTTAGTTCCTCATAAACTTAGTTATATATGGTTGTGACTTTAAGAATGCAAATTTTTATCCCTCCACCTTTACAGGCTCTGATATAATTTTTTTTTTTTAAAGATTGATTTATTTATACAAGCGCTGGGTACAGTCAGAAGCGCGGGAGGGTGAGAGAATTCACCAGAGTCAGAGCAGGGAGCAGAGCAGGCAGAAGGACCGAAGTACACTGCTGAGGGGAGCAGCAGGCGGCAGGAGAGGTCTGCGCGCCATGTGGGACCCTCCTCCGGTGGCCGGGGAGCAGCCGGGGATCGAACCGGTGCTGCCGAGACTGCGGGCAGCTTCGCAACCCAGCGCTCAACCGCTGCTCCACCGGGGAGGCCCTCTGATATAATTTTTAATAGTAATAGAAATTAGATAAGATAAAAGTAGCTTTATTAATGGTAATACTTAGTAAGATTATATTATCTTAAGCAATAAAAAAAGGAAAAAGTCTCATTTACCTTAATTTCCTCTTAGACTTTATTAACATCTGTGCTACTAAACTATCCTATTATCAGGGCCTCCCCGGTGGCACAGTGGTTGAGCGCTGGGCTGCAGAGCTGCCCACAGCCTCTGCAATGGCGGTTCGATCCCCGCCCACCAGGGAGGGTCCCACATGGCCCGCAGACCCCTCCTGCCGTGCCCGCTGCTCCCCTCAGCAGTGTACTTCATCAGTCTGCCTGTTCTGCTTCTCACTCTGGTTCTGGTGAATTCTCTCACCCTTCTGCGCTTCTGACTATACCCAGTGCTTGTATAAATAAATAAATAAATCTTAAAAAAATAAATAAAATAAACTATCTTATTATCAGCTATCCAAGTTGTAGCTTTTAGCTTCCTTCCCAAGGTACACACTTCTGATCACTGAATCACAGAATATTTTCTTTTCTAATAGTGCTCCAGTTACTTTTTACATCATCCTGGGTCATGCTCCAAGGAGATTTTAAAAATAAAACATTAAACCTGAGGCTTTTTACTTCAGCTCTAGTAAACTCAAAGTTACTTTTATCATTCAGCAGGTAGTTAAAATTAGGATGCTGGAATTTTATATAACTAGTTTCTAGGCTAAAAGTATTATGATATTTTTAGGTCATAAAAATAAAGCTTATTCTAAAGAGAAAGTACAGTCTGATGGAAGGGAGTTAGACTTTGGTATTGAACAGACAAGGCACAAACCCATGGTGTGATCATTAAAATATTAGTTGAATTTTAGTTCTTGGTGTCAAATTTTTCCAATCTATAAAGTGGACTTAATACAATCCACCTTATAAATGTTTAGGATTTTAGATAACATATGAAGGCATTT